TGTCAGTTAGTTTGTAAGACCTGTCAAAGCTATTCCATAAACAGTTAACTTGTTGGACCTTTCAAAGTCTATTCCACCATCAGTTAGTTTGTAAGACCTGATCTTTTTTTTGCTGCTGCAGATGAGTTCTCCAACAGATCATTCTTATTCGTTCTGTTGCAGTTGATATGGCTTTTTCATTTGACATCTGGCATGAGTTTGGTACAGATTGCTTTCTTGTCAGATTACTGTTGTACCATTGAGCATGCTTCAAGTGGTACAACAGTCATCTGAGTTGTGTACACACACAACACATTCAGTAGGACTGTTGCCCATTGATCTGATGTCCATACTTAAACACTTATGGCTTGTACAGTGTAAAATGTGCTCAAAGATCTATCAGGAGTGAAATGTAGAGGAGATAGAGTATAATTTGGATTAATTCTATCAGTTTCACTGTTATGTGGGGGATGATCATCAGGTGCCCAACACTTGGAATTATACTACTTTTAGAGACATGTGGAACATATGACATAATTTTTGACAGTAGTTTTCTTAGTGGTGTTACACTACATTACGTTAGTGTGAACCTTACAAACCACTCAGTAAGCAACTTTACACATTATTACTGATTTCGTAACTATAGAAGTGTGCCAGTTTCATTGGATTATACAGTTTCTAGTGTGGAATTATTCAGTGGTTACATTTTGCATGTTGTACATTTATTTTTTTTTGATTGAATAGCTTGTACCTAATGATAAACAACATACTGAAGTGGTTCAAAGGTGGCAATGATTAAAAAATTGATGCAAAGTAGAAAAAGATTCTTTGAACTGAGCAAATCAATCTATTAAAAATCTCACTGTGTATCCATTTGAACTTTAATACATCTGCAGAGTTATAGACACATGAAAAAATAAGGATGTACCAATAGACAAGTTTATTTCTGTATATATACTTTATGGTAGTCCCAGTACAAGTGAAACAACTGTCATAGCAAGTATCTTTTTGTCATTATATGTGGGCATAAGTCACATTTTATAAGTCTTTGTCCTTTTAGTTGTTCATTACTGACAACTTATAGTCAAGTGTTTTGAAGGATTACAAATAAATGTG